TCCTCTGTGACTTTTGCCAGCCCAAGAAGAAAAAGAATGTTTCCCACGATGCTTTTGGCACCAAATTTGGCCGGGTGCACATGCAGAAGCAGGACCTTTCCAAGCTTCAGACGCGCAAGATGAAGGGTCTGCGGAAGAGGAAGCGGGAGGTGGTTGATGATGGCGAATCTCCCAAAGTTGCAAAAGTGGACAGTTGAGGTCTGACACGGACAGCTGTGCAAGTCTTCGCCTCCGCACTATTGTGCGGTTTTCTTCTTCATCTGCATGGCCAACTTGCGCCCCGTCACCACTTTTCACTTCCTCCACCCAAACTGTAGGAGAGTCTGTGTAGAAGTCTGTTTAACTTCAAGCTTTGTGAGGTTTTTTTTTTTTGGTCAGATTGTGATTAAAATGCCATGCCTTGTACTAAATAAAATTGCATGCCACATGGCTGGGGTTAGAATGATCCACTTAACCCCCCCCAAAAAAAATCCGAATATCAGCTTGGATGTTTTCAACCATTTGGTGGTGATGAAAAAAGGCTTTGTGCTTCATATTAGTAGGGGGGGGGGGTTCCTCTTAAACTGGTGATTAATTCTCTGGAAAGCCTGAGCAAAGAAAAGTTACTCGCCGCAGACACCATCTGCCACGCTTACTAATGCCACTAGGAGGCGTTGACGAGCCCTGATGATTCTTTTTCGTGTGTCTGCTGTGGCTACCAGCCGCCCTGATGAACCCGCACGAAAAAGGAGTTTTTAATTTACCCGGTAAGCTACAATATGCACTATGTGGGTGTGGGGGTCCTATAAAAAGAGTCGACAAAAATGTCCCGACATTTGAAGTGAAACGGAATCAAGGGGCTGCGTGCTGGTCCTTTCCCAGCGCGCTTGTGCTCTTGCAAGTGCCCAGGTTAGCACCAGTTCTTTCTTTTTCGATGGCACATGTAGAGACCTGACTCCCCGGACACAGGGAAGTTTTGCACAAACAGCCATGCTCGTCCTCGTCTAAAATGATTAAGAAAGACAGAAGCGTTTGCGGATCGCATGTCCCTGACTGCTTCATGCTACATCCAAGTATAATTGATGCTATGCTAGGTTGCCTAGCAGATGCTAACAGCGCAGGCGCTCTTGTGTAAACGTCGACGTAGGCGGTGCCGTATGGACGCCTTACGATGACGTAATGACGTCGCTCCTACTTGGCACTTGGCCGGTGGAAAAGCAAACACGTTCTCCGGAAGAATTTGTGAAGCACCAACTAAGCACAGCGCTGGCACTGGCCCCGAACGAGCACCAAGTGTTTTGCCAAAGTCAGATTTTTGCAGGAAATGACTCTCCTTAGTCCATTCCAGATGTTGCAAAAAATGCAAAATCTCAAAGACAAAAGATGAACTGGCCTGATCAAATGTTAAACATTTCCGAACCTTCCGGGCGGAAAGAAGTACTGATACAGCATTTAATTTGCCAACTAAAATCGCAGACTTAACTCCAGTACCTAAATAAAAGCTGTTGGTCGTCGTTTTTTTTTTTTGTTTTTGTTTTTTTTTTGTGGACTCTTGTGATATAGTGATAATGATTACCTGAAATAGAAAACACCTTTGGAAGAAGGGAAACTTTATTTGACAAGCACTTTGAATATATATTATTTTGTTGAATTATTTTCTATTTATTTGTGCTCTATAAATACATTTGAGTTGAGTTGAGAATTTATTATCTAGTTGACATTTAGATACACTTTCTATTTAATATTTTCTCCTACTTGGATTTAGCCGTTTCATTTGACAAATGCTTTTTGAAAATGACACATATATATTTTGAAAAATACATATATATATATAGACATACATGATGTAATGTTCTGAGTAACAAAAATAGAAGCTCCTGAACAATATCACTGTTTGAGGATATGTCTTTTATTCAGAGTGACATCTTGTTTTGTCAAAAAATGATACAGTAATTTGATTTGTTTCAAATGATGTCTTGAGATGAATGATGTCACAAGGCTTTGTGGTCATTATAGATCGGTTTTAAGTAAAAGGATAAGAGAGCCGCTGGAACTTATGCATACCGAGTTGATCCGTTTTCTGTAGGACTATGGTTTTAAGTCGAGTCCACTCAAGTCAGTTTTTTTATATATATATCAACAGAAGTTGTCTCAAGGCAAGCAAGTGTTGCGATTTGCTTGTGAAAATGTGTGCCAGAACATCAGCAGAGTACGAAGAACTTCGGCGGACCAAAGAGGAGAAAAAACGTCAACGCCCAGACATTGTTTTCAAGCAGCCTCGCATTCTTTTACACAGATCAGGTTTGTTCGCTTATTCTTGCATAGTTCAGAGTTTTATGTTTGAGCAATCATCCCTCTGTGATCTGTGCACAGAATTGACGCTGGCAGGGGCTCCTTATTGGAACATAACAGAGTACAAAAAAAAAAAAACAATTTCCAACAACCTGTTCTTTGCTATAGTGAAGGCAACATTCATTTCTACTCCACTACACATCCTAATTAAAATGAATACTTCTTAGTTGGATACATTTCCCCTCACCATTTTCCTTACTGGTGACTACAAAATATAAATTGAAGAAATAATCAACATAATGCCTGAAGCACAAGGTGGACCAGACGTCCTCCCCAGACTGATGTGGTCACGATAGCCAGCCTCATAGAAAGCACTCGAAAGTGATTCTGTCTTTCTATCTTGGCATATTTCGGAACCTATCTGACATTTGTCGTACTGAGCTATCCCAAATGAAATTTTCTGATATTTAAAAAGGCATTTTTAGAATTTCGATTCTTATTTATTTGAATTCAGTGCACTGGTGTGGAGTAGTTCAGGAACTGCATGTCGGCTAACACGTGAAGTTTGCGACCACGATAAACGTATTCAAAAAAAACTTGACGGTGGGCCGTAAATGGGCCCCGGGCCGTAGTTTGGACACCCCCGCCGTAAGACTTGACGGAGTAAAGTTTGATAAAGCACACATGTTTGTTTTCCGGCGTCCTTTAGATGTAAATGATGTCCGTGTTCGTCCTGAGCCTCAGAATGAGCCTCAGAAGCCCGAGCCCCCTCACATTATAGAGGAAGAGGAGCTTGAGGCCCCCTACGCAAATGAGGAAGAGGAACCAGAGACTGCCCCCACATTGAGGAAGAGGAGGAGCAGGAGCCCGTACTCGTTCAAGAAGTAAATGAAGCCTTGAACTGGTAAATAAAGAAAAAAGAAAAAGGTCTCACGGTGCTTGTGTTCAATCTGCTTGTTCTTCCTCGTCTCCTCTGCTTGATATTGTCTCAGCTAACGGCAGAGTGAAAAACAAACAGGACGGGATCATGACACTTTCAAAGTATTTTTAAAGTAATGTTTTCTCCGGCTACTCCGTTTTCCGGCATGCTTGAAGCTGTTTAATGACACCCTTTACTGCAAAAGTAAACACCCAATAAAAAAAATTGCACACAATGTATATTTGAATGCAAAACGCGCTTTGTTTTAAAACCTCACGAATGCCAAAATCATTGGAGGCCCCCATTCAAATGCAAAGGGTAAAATTAGCATCGACTTCGGGAGTGAAATTCTTCGAAATAACTTATATTTACACGTAAATGCTCTGGAAAAACAAACACAAGTAAGATGGCACTTCTCAAAGGCACAAATTGTTCCCAATCTGTGAAAAAAAACGAGATAGAGTAATAGCGGTAAAGCAGCTTTCAGTGAAACCCTTGTATCGAATTAAGAGTTAAGACTTAATCTTGTCAGAGCGTCAAGCTTATGATCAGCTCATTAAGTCACTCTGAATGTTTTGCAAAGTGGCAATTATTTCTTCCTTTGATAGAAAGTACTGATTTGGAATTGAACCAAAAGTCAAATGCAACATGTGCTCCTCAAGACTCATTATGAAGATTTGTTTGCGGCAGTGAGGGGAAGGTGCCTTCTTCAAATATATCGTTGTACAGTATTTCATAATGCTGGAAAAATATCATTCTGTTTTATCTTAAAAAAAAAGAAACGTTTTTTTTAATGAAGTATTCAGTTTTATTCATAAATGACTGTGGTTTTAGTCATTTCATTTTACATGTGTCAATATGCTACACCCTTTTTGTTCTCCAATGCCTTCATTTAATTTTGTTATTTCAGGTGACTTGGAAAAACTGCAGGCCACTATTTGTTGGCTTTTTAAATACTCGTTTGAACAGTGAAACCACAAGCTTGAAGCAAAAGTGAAAGCAATAAACTGGTTGTGACATTCGCTCAAACTGCATTTGTTTGGTCAAAACGGTCACTCCTTTGCTACAAATTGTCACGTCCGTCCATCCATCCGTTCTCTGAACCGCTTTATCCTCACAAGGGTCGCGGGGCGTGCCGGAGCCTATCCCAGCCGTCTTCGGGCAGTAGGCGGGGGACACCCTGAACCGGTTGCCAGCCAGTCGCAGGGCACGCCGAGACCCAACAACCATCCGCGCTCACGCTTACACCTCGGGACAATTTAGAGCATTCAATCAGCCTCCCACGCAGGTTTTTGGAATGCGGGAGGAAACCGGAGTACCCAAAGAAAACCCACGTAGGCACGGCTGGCTGCAGAAGACATGGACGAGAGCTGACACTCACTGGGAGAAAGCTCGGCGTAGTTACAACATACTGTGAGACATCAAGCCTATACGAGTAATAAAGAATACATACCATAAAAGAGCCACAGCCACTGCATAGCAACTGAAACATTAAAGAGCGACAAAGTCAACAGAGGAGTGTGAATGATTGAATTTATTTTACATAACAAAAATAGCAGCAAATAAAATCCATGTAGTTTTAAAAAACATTTTCACATATTTTTTTCCTTTATTCAACGTCATCTACAAGCTGGCCCATCTTTTCGTTCAAAAAAAAAAAGCTCGATCGTCGTAATTAGTCCTGTGAACAATCACCGGCTGATGCGTGCGGCCGTAAAGTCACCTACGTCACGCGTAGGCGTCTTTGTCCAATCAGCGGCAGGATGCCCCGACCCCGCCCCGCCGAACTCGCTATTTATAACATCGCCACGGCAGCTACTCGACTGTTGCGATAGATGCGAAAATACACCCACCGCGGCAGCTGCAGCTTCACCCGCGGATGCTGCGCCCCCACCCCAGCCCCCCACATGTAAGACACCTTTCATACCGCCACCCGGAGCCGCATTTTTGAAATTAGTCGCGCTCTTCTCAACGCCAATCCAAAAGTTGCCACGCACAACAATGGCAGAAGGGACTCTCGTCACAAATGATGACGCGGCCAAGAAGGTCCACGTCCCGGCCGGCGCGCCGGTCGAGGAGAAACTCGTCGATGGCGAAGCGGAGACGAAAGAGAACGGGGACAGCCAGGTGACCGTCCCCGACCAGAGCGCGGAGTGCACGTTCGCGCACCCGGAGGGCGGCTGGGGATGGCTGGTCATGCTCGCCGCCATGTGGTGTAACGGCTCGGTATTCGGGATCCAGAACGCCTTCGGTATTCTTTTCCTCTCCCTGCTACGGGAGTTTGGCTCCGAGGACGACGAGGACCTCCGCTTCAGGACAGGTGAGCGGCCACCGCGACGAGAAAGGGAATAAAAGGGGGCGGGGGGCGCACAGTTAGTGGTCGCATTTCAACGTCGTCCAACATGAATGTTTTGCGGTTTGCGCGGAGGTGACTTTTGGCTCGTCTGGCGAGTACAAAACATTCGAGCAACCCTTGACTTGCCCTTGAAGTAACATCGCGACCATGTTTGTTTTTAAGGCCTACGATAGAAACTCTGTGAAATGAATGAATTTTCCGACTTAGTTAAGCGTGTGAGCAAGCGACTGCGGGCGCTGCAGGAAGAAGTTAGCTCACGGCGAGTCGCCACTAAGACATCTGCTCGTTTTCCGCTGTCGACCAGATTGCGCCTCGCATTTCATTTGCGGCGTGACGCGAACGCCGCGCGCGGACCGAGACGCACCGCGCGAGGGCTTTCGTGTCTCGTCGTGATTTTCTTTGGCCCGGGGGCTGTGCGGGCTTGGCGACGCGTCACTGCGTGACATCCTTCAAACGCGCGCCCGTAAATCTCCGCGGATAGAATACAGTACAGTATTGTTGCGTCACAAAAGAAAGAAACGGCGCATCTGTTTTTCGAGCCTCGCCTTTGGGAGGTCGGGCGAGCGAGCGGCTGCGTGAGCGCATTCTGCATCAACTGGTTGCCAGGTATCCCCAGGCCCCCAAGAATTAATATGGCAAAGTTTCATTTGCGTTCCATTCCGGTTTGGTGCACCTCACCGCACTGTTTGTAACATGGTGTCTTTGGTCGTGATTATAATTCAGTGACGTGAAACTAGAACAGGTCGTTTCAGTCCATGAATATGCTGAATTCAATGAAGGTGTGTCATTGCTCACTAATTCCGAGTTTGCTAATGGACACCATTAGCATGAATTACCCTGTACAAAAACCAAACGTTTGCTCCCTGTACTTGGAGAGGGCCCTCGGGGGGGGCGTGACGTGGCACTCTGGTGGTGGATCAAAAGTGTGACGGTTTCTCCTTTAAAAATTGGAATTGCTGACGAAAGGGGAAGCTAAACCGCAGTTCACCATGACATCTTGCGGGTGGCAAAAAGCCAAAGTGTTCTCCGATAGCGTCGCGGATCGTGTCATTTGATTCTCCCAACCACGCTTGAATGCACCCGAATCTCCCAACGTTGCTCTGCAAGACTGGCCATCATAACACCCGTAAAAAGTCCGCCGTCAAAGCACCAAGCAACAAAAACAGAAAATCAAGCCCAAGTATCGACAGGGTTGACACACGCACTCGCTGGCGCATTGTTCGCCATCTTGAGTACAATCCATTGAATCAATCAATGAACAAAATATACATGTGTTGTTGTTTTTATTTGAACAGAAAGCATGCAAGCATGGGTGTTACGGTTTATTATGCAAACACCATACAGGAAGTTTGACCCCCCCCCCCCCCCCTCCAAAACCACAGAAACCGCAAGACGGATGACAGAGTAGCATTCTCAATATGCCGCGAGAGTGGCTGCCTTTCCAGCAGCTCCTATATTTTGTTGTTCTACTTCTTCCTTTCATAACTTTGCTGCTGTGAATTGGGAATTTCTCCATTGCGAGACTAATAAAGGTTTTCTTATCTTATCTTATCCCGGTGGATATGTATGGATGTATTCTTTATTTTGAACAAACATTCCGAATTGGCCAAATTGAGCCCAGCCCACCGCAGGCGTTGAACCGGACTTGTTTTGACCAAACAATCAAAGGATGCAAAATGCCCATGTCATCGAGGACCCTTGGGAGGATGAGTTTGAAACGGTCCCATTGTTAATAAAGTTAACACCCAGCGCTGATTCTGAATGCCCTGGGCAGATTGAGATAAGATAAAATAACCTTTATTTGTCCCACACTGAAGATTGGCATGACTGGAAAACACACACACACACACACACACACACACACACACACACAGCATCCACATGGATGGATGGATAGCATAACAGAACTAACACTTCTGTAGCGTCATTCACATTGCTAACGCCTCTGAGCAGCGTGACACCGAAACATTGGACACCGTCTTAATAAACGTACTGGGATCTCAAACAGCAGGCTCCGAATTGCGCGTTGGCGCCAACAAGTTGCTTGCGCTGCTCCGTGGGCGTGGGGGCAGTCGACGCCCCTTCTTATTTGGACAAAAACTCTGTCTGCCTCTGCTAGCCAAGGCGGCGCTGATGCTCCCCTCTCTGCTTTTTTGAGGAGACCACGTGCTAACTCTGAAGCAAGAAGCTAGCTTTGCGCGTTGCTCTGATGTCTTGCGTTTTGAATTTTGCACCGAGGAAATGGAGAAAACAACCTTCGGGGTGCGACATCCCATACTTGGGCATCGCGCGCCGAAAACATCAATATCCCATACTGGCGTACTGAGACTGAACAGTCAAAGACAGCAAGGCGCTTTGTTATGAAACTGATATTTGGGTCTCCTCCCCCCGCCGTTCACTTTTGAGTAGCGGCATTCCCAAGTGGTTTCTGAGGCTTTTATTTTCTTGCAAAGAAGCGCATATGTTCCTCTTTAGAATGGCTAACCTATTTTTTTGGGCAACACGAACGGCAAGTTACTAAATATCGGCCTTGAAAAAAAAAAACCAAACAAACCGATGTCGTCACTGAAATCCTGGAATCCTGCTCGGTGTCGGATCAAGTTGCTCTGATGTCATCTTTGATGCCGCTTACGCCGAGGGGGACGTACAGTCTGTGCATGCTATTTGGGCGCGATATGCGTTAACTGGCTTTGCTCTTTCATTGATTTCCATCCGCTCTCACGGACTTTGATGAAAAAGTCGCTACGATGTTCGGAAATACTGCTGGTGAACCGCAACCTGGCCAGCCGCTCAACCGGCTCTCCCTTCTGACGTGTAGTGCACGCATGCAGTTGTCGCAACGGTAGCGGCGGCGGCGCCGTCATGTTTGTGAACCGGGATTGTACGCCCATTCCCGCTTTTGCCACCGCAGTGCTTTGAGTGGGCACGCGGTGCCCCCCCCCCCCCCCCCCCCC